TTTTCAAATAAGCATTATTGAGCATTTTTAATTATTAATTTCTCCTGTGGACACTGCTGGCCATGTCTATTGCTAATGTGATGCAAAACACATCAGATTACTCCACCAGGACACCTGTGTGAACTGACCATGACGAATAAATATGGATGAGAATAACTTCAAAAGGAAAAAAAAAAACTGCAAAAACATTCTTTGATAATTAATTTGAGTTTTTTATGTTTGGATCCTTAATCAAGCGACCAATGATTCCCATGAGAAAGGAATAAAATAAACACAGAGACAGTGAGCTCTCTGTCAGACAAGGCATATGGTAGACGATGGAGTGTCATATGACAAAGAGAGAAGGGCATTTGCCAACACACGCTCAAACACACTCGCGTCTCATGACCGCTTTTTGCCTTTCTGACTGAACTAATAAACAGTGCGCTCTTTCTTCGCCCGTTCAAATTCTAGTTAAACTTGTGACTAATTTGCCTCATACCTATGCAGACCTTATGTGTTCGACGCCCCCCTCGAGACCTGAGAGAAATGAGATTATTCCTGCATCATGTACACAGAGAAAGGCCTTTCAAATGAAAGTTGCACATAACTTATAACACATGATGTGGATCATCAATCAGGCTAGAGTCTGTGAAAGGTCTTCTCCACACACATCCATATATCATAGCACGTTTACTTTGTTGTAAAGACTCTAATGAATTTGTCTCATGCATATTAAAATATCCTTCTTTCATCAGCTGTTTAAAGGTTTCGAAAAACAAAAAAGCATTAATGGAAACTAGCTCCCGATAGCATGGTATAGAGCAAAGATGCACAAAGTAAAGCCTCGGGGCCAAAGTTGGTCCATTGTAACATTTTTGTTAGATTTTTGATCAGTCATCCCATCTGATAAGAGAGTGAGAATAATGGAGAGGGTTGAGGTGAATGTTTTATTGCTGAAATACATAAATTAATAATTTATTTTAATGTAAATACTCCAATATCGACATATAGATGACAATACAGGAGACAGAAGGCAAACCAATGCAAAAACTAGTGTAACTCCATTATGTTATAAATAAGATTGTTCTTACTGTAATAAGTTATTTAAAAATTTATATATATATATATATATATATATATATATATATATATATATATATATATATATATATATATATATATATATATATATTCATTCATTTTCTTGTCGGCTTAGTCCCTCTATTAATCCGGGGTCGCAACAGCCGAATGAACCGCCAACTTATCTAGCTAGTTTTTTTTACGCAGAGGATGCCTTCCAGCCGCAACCCATCTCTGGGAAACATCCACACACACATTCACACACACACTCATACACTACGGGCAATTTAGCCTACCCAATTTATCTGTTAGATTTTAGACTTTTTAAGGCCTAAAATTTAGCTTTTGAGATTTAAGACATTTAAGACTGTTAAAGCCCCTGCGGACACCCTGTTAAATGAAATAAAAATGATCGAAAACTATTTTTTTTATAATATGCATTGTATTTTTGAACAGATTTGAATATTTTGCAATATAAAATTCAATACACTTTTTAACTGAAAACAAAGAATATTTTTGAATATTTTACATCATTTTTAAACAGATCTGAATATTTTGAAAGTTAATGCTAGAAGGTGAATATAAAGTATTGAATTTAAGTATGATTACTTATCATCTATCTATCCATTATTTTTTTACTGTCTCTGTATCTGTACAAATTATTGTATGAAAAATATGGATGAAATAATGCTCCACCCTCATTCAGTGTAACAATATATTAATGTAAGCAAAGCATAACATTTACAGACAAAAAGTGTTTCAATGTTTAAATGATAAGAATCTGACATTTTAAATGGTTAAAACAGCAGATAAATTGTAAAATCGAGGTTTGAAGGGTGGTGGAAAAGTAAAAAGATTTCAAAAGACGATTAATTAGAATGGGGCAGTGCACTGTGATCTTTAAATTGAGTTTAATTTGACACCAAATTATTTTTCGTATAAATATGCCTGAGGAGATTATTTTAGCTTATCAACTTACAATACACTACAGTAAATGGCATGTTTTATTTTATTTTAATTGAATGTCTTATGTTAATTATGCTTAAAACGCATGATAGTATTTCTTACATTTTCTTCTGTTTCTTTATTTCTTTGAAAGGTTTCCTCCACTTCGATTCACGTTTACTTTCTTATAAAGAATTTAACAAACAACTTTTGTCTCATGCATATTTAAATCTCCTTCCTTTTTTCTTTGATCAGGTGTTGAAAAGTTTTGTAAAAGAAAACTTTCTTTATTCAAAGTGTTAAAAGAAGGACAAAGGAGCAGATGCTAATTTCAGAGGATGTGGCCTGCTTTAACTCCACTCATCATGTTTTAGTTCATATTTAAATAGGCATAATTCTGAAAGCGCCTTGATGCCTTCTATTTAACTTTTATACAGCGGTCCATTTTTTTTTTTCCTTTACCGAGCGAGATGAAACACTCAAACGCTCTTTA